GAATGCCTATGTACTGTTTTTGTCACTGCACAGCTCATTCTTTGGTCTTGAAAACCCAGTCAGTTGTGCTGAGGAGTAAAACGTGCAGCACTGTGGTTGTTTACCTCTCTGATGTATTCAGTAACATTTCAGGGAACTATTGATGAAAGTGGTTCCCAGTGATGATTCATGTATAATCATCTCTTTTTGTACATGGAGCTTTTGCTACATTGGGTGTTTCACCAAAAGATAAATCTTGTATTCAAATGTTGCCTGTCCTGGAAGAAGTTGAAGAATGTGTCCATATCTGCAGTCCAAAAGATTGCATTTCCCCTGACTCTTCCCTTTTCTTATGCAGGTGAGGACAACTCAATGATTTTTGACTGTACTGAATGCTATGATCCTGTCACTAAGCAATGGACAACCGTGGCTTCCATGAACCATCCCCGTTGTGCATTGGGTGTGTGCACATGCTATGGTGCCATCTATGCTTTGGGTAAGTTGTGGGGTTTTTCTAGGTGTAACTTCACCTAGATGTTAATTCATAGAGTTTGTGCATGGATTTGATCTTAAATATTACATCTTGGTGATACAAATTCGCAAACTTAAGTTTCGAAAAACAGCTGTATCCCTGTATCCATAAATATTAACATATATGCTAAATCTCTGTGGATTAGTTATTGTTTATTTATAATTTATTTCCATTGTAGACTGACTGCATGCTGATTTCAGAATTTGTCCTCGAACAGTCCACTGCATGTCTAAAAATGCAGCTAATACACAATTTCATGCCATTAAATTCCTTCCTGTGTTTGCTTTTATTTGCAGGAGGCTGGGTTGGAGCAGAGATTGGCAACACAATTGAAAGATTTGATCCTGAAGAGAATAGTTGGGATGTGGTGGGAAGCATGGCTAAGCCCCGTTACTGCTTTGGGTGTTGTGAAATGCAAGGTGAATATTGTTAAGTTTATATCCCTAAATAGTTTCAACAGCCATTAGATTCTGAAGCTTTATGTCTCAGTCATGAATTCTTACCTTTGGCTTGTACTGAGCTCTCAGTCACACATGCTTGTGCCTCACTTGCTTGTTGTTCTAATAGTCTATTTTTAATTCTGCAGAATTCAAAGACTATAATGTTCTCTCATCTCCTGCCTTTTATCTCACAAAAAGTTTTTACATGGCTGCCAGTATGGTTATGCAGCTAGTCTTTTAGCAGTTGATTGTTCTTTCTGATACTGCTTCTATTTATCTTCCATATTTGGGTTTGCATGTTTCTCTTTGTGACAATCTGAAGACTTGCCACAAGTTATTTTAAGACAGACATGTCTAAATACTTGATCAATAAATGTGCTTACTAAGTATTTGATCCTGGCCAGGTCAACAGTTACAACCTTCTGAATTCCTTCCCCTTCACTTAATTAATTTTTGCTTTCCTCAGAGCTTCTAGTGCTCAGGCTTCAAGCTGCTCATGCAAAAACTTTATGTATTCTACTACTTAGCAAAAGGAGGATTTTCTGACATTCTTTAATTATTTTAATGTCAGGCTGAAACTTGTGTTGTGACAGTAATTTTCTGTCTGTATTATGAAGCCTAAAAGAGGAGAAACTGTTTCTGCAGGTTTGATTTATGTCATTGGTGGTATCAGCAGTGAAGGAGTAGAGCTGCGTTCTGTTGAAGTCTACGACCCCATCTCTAAACGCTGGTCTGAGCTGGCTCCAATGGGCACCCGAAGAGCCTATCTTGGTGTAGCTGCTCTCAACGATTGTATCTATGCTGTGGGAGGCTGGAATGAATCCCAGGATGCACTTGCTAGTGTAGAAAGATACTCATTCGAAGAGGTATGGCAGAGTCCCTTCTTTTCATAAATGTAGATTGCATCAGCTTTGTGTAAGATGCTATAGAGCTTCCTTTCTTTAAAAAGAAAAAGCTGGAAATTCCATTTCCTTTTCACTACTGGCTGGGAATCTTGACTGAAAAAAAGCTTTGGTGATCTCAGGGTCTGTCCTAAGTAGTTGTCATGGTTTAATTATGCACAGATATACTGTAGTTTGGCAAATATTTCTTAGGGTTAAGATGAGAGGATAGACTTCCCCTCTGGAATAGAAAGCTCAATAATCTGAATAGAGAGAAAAAACCCATTGTAAAGGTAAGAGTTACCTTTTATTGCAAAATTTGAGGATCTTCTGCATCAAAATGTAGTGGTGTTTCAGCATGACTAGAAGAAGATAACTTTTTTCCAGACTGTTATTGCTCATGTTCTTATGATATTCTTTGGAAGAGTAACTACTCTTAAAAGCAGAACATAATCCCATGTGACATCTGTTTTGCTTTTCAAATTGAATCTAATTTTCCTGTTTCCCCCACCTCAAACTATACCATGCTCTACTTTAGAGACTGACTGCATCTTGCAGTGACTGAAGAAAGGGAGGGGTGTTGTGTGCAGACATTATGGCATCTGCTCTTTAGAGATTACCACAGTTTGGACCCCTTGTCAAAGTGTTGTCATTCCTGTCTTGGTAATCCTCTGGATACTGTAAACATACAGCAGTTAAGCCTGTGAAGTATATACACAGTGTTCTTTGTATATGTTTCAGTCTTTTAAGCTTTAAAAGTTATTTTAGCAGAATCAGAGCTTGCCCTAAAGCTATTTCTTCATGTTTCACCTTTTTGTTAGGAAAAGTGGGCTGAAGTTGCATCGATGAAGATCCCAAGAGCTGGTGTTTGTGTTGTGGCTGTGAATGGACTTCTCTATGCCTCAGGAGGCCGAGCTCCCAGTCCTGATTTTGCTGCTCCAGTAACCTCTGACTCTGTTGAAGTTTATAACCCTCACATGGACAGCTGGACTGAAATTGCCAACATGATCACCAGCCGCTGCGAAGGAGGCGTAGCTGTGCTGTAAAACACAAAGAAGAAAACTCATTCAAGGAATGAGTCAATTATGTCTCCACAGATTTCCTGTTTCATTGGTCAGAAACCTTTTTTAACACAGGAGCTTCAGTGGAGAATTAGATCAGAGGGATTTTCCTGAGCAAAAGGAAAAGCCCTTCAAAGTAAATTGGCTTATCCAGTGTCTGTCTCAGGAAGTATTCTGTTAAAGAGTAGGAATGCCTCTTAGAACTGGATTAAACTCACTGAAATAAATGGTGAATTTGCCCTGTAAAAATCTGAAGAAATAATTCCAACACATTAGAGACATTAATCGGGTTGTTACTGAGCTGGCACTTTGGCCAGACTTGCAATCTGGAAGTGGGTTACTGTCAACAGCTAGGAGTTACCTGTTGGTAAGATCAGATGGGTTATTTGGATGGCATTAGTTCTTTTTCTGGCAGAAAACAAGGAAGAGAAGATAACACACAGGAAAGACTTTATGCATCTACTTAGGACCTTAATTCATTTAAGCCTCTTTTCTGTGGCTGGACATAGTGGGCATTAAATATGAATTGGATCTTTACTTTCTGGCCACTCCACAAATTGGAATGGTGAGTGGATGAGAATTTCCTATTCTGGAAGGTTATCTTCACAGTTCTATTAATGCCATTCCCCTACAGCACTGGCTTTTCTTCTCAGTGGTGTCAGTGATGCCAGTAGAGCTCTGTTTTGTGTAAGCCCTGGTGAATTTTAAATGCAGATGCTATTCATTAGATTGGCTATTCTGTTTAGGACTGCTCTTAGTATAAAAACACAGGGAAAGGCTCTTGCCCCCATATTTTTCCCCCATAGTCAAATGTGTTTTTACTCTGTGTGACACATGCTGAGACTTGGTATTGAATACTTGCAGTTCTACAAGACCACTATATCTTGTATCCTGCCTCATCCAAATTTGAGCCAGTGGAGCTTTCTGTGATATAATTAGCTGCATTTAGCATTAAACTGATGATATCAGTGTGCTCTTAAGGACTTTGTCTGTAGCTCAGACACACTTAGTAAAACAATACTACAAGGAATTTGGAGTTATTTCTAGATTCAACTTGTTTCTTGCACACTTTGGCTGCATTTTCAGCACAGCTGTGGATGATTTGGATGAAGACTGAAGTGAGGCTGCTTGCATTTTGATAGACAGTGTTATTCTGGAACAACAAACCACAACTGGATTGTCACAAAACAGGAAGCCTGGCACTGTGTAGACAAAGGAGCATTCATGCTGTTTAGTTCAATATCCCCTGTGTAAAATTAACAAGTTGTTACATGATAAATCCTCCAAGGTGACTGTTGCAGGTACCTTAATAATCAAGGTCCTAAAATCTAACATAAAGTTGGGCTAAAACATGCTAGATGACGCAGAGTTTCACTAATTGTTCCATAATCTTGTGTGTGCTTTTACTTCAAAGAATTTATTATGTGTCTGAATTAGTGGTTTGATTTTTTTCAAGTATGAGCTTGTTTAAACTGTTTTTCATAATAAAATGTATTTTCAGAACTGACTGGAATGTTCTTGAAGAGGTTGCTTCCATAACTTAGTAAACTATATTACTACCACTTTCATATAATAGGTAATTTTTTCTTTTTATTGGAAAACATATTTCCCAGTAAAACACTAGGGAAAGGTTGGTTATAAATTTTGATTATTTGAGTGGTGGAATTAACAAGCTTCTATAGTAAAATACTCATGTATTTTTCTTCTCAGTGTAAAATAACTCAGACTTCTTGGGAGTATGTCTTGCCAGCTCTATTCAGCCCTCTGTGGGATGAAATTACAGATAATATTTCATAGTCTTTCTTATTTGTATTTCAGGATCCCTCTTGGAACCGTTTGAGAAACACTACCTTAGCCGTATTTTATTAGTTTGGTAACTACAGGTTTACTTCTGATCCCTGTTAACTTTCTGGTTTAATGGAGCTTGAGGGAATCTGCAGTTGTCTGAAATAACTGATTCTGTTATGTTTGAATGAAACTTCAAAGCTGGTTGATTATGGTCTCTGATCATCAGCACCTCTTTTACCTAATCAAGATAAAGACAGGACTCTTCTCTGGACCCATGTTAAAAGATGCCATGTCTAAATAAGAAGGAATAGAAAAACCATTTTTATTCACAAACTCAATTTTATTTCCTTTATGTTCAGAAAGCTCTGAAATATATTGTTTAATAGGGTACTTTCATAGTTCAGTGTAGAGCAACTGATACCCATAAGTGCTTAGTAAGTTGTTTAACATACAAACGTTAACAGATTGCAAAAGGGAGAGTCTGATGTACAGAGCTGCTCTTTCAGCAACATCATACAAGATGGTTCCATCTCCAGGACAGGCAGGTTTCTTAAACATCTGTTCTTTGCAGAACAAAAAACGTTAAGGGACAACATGTGCTTTACTTGATGTAGAACAATGAAGAATAGAGCTTTAACAGAACTATGAGGATTATCTGGTCCTAAGACCACGTGTGGATGTAATTTTCAGCTTTCTTCCTGCATCTTACACTGCTCTTAACTACTACTGATAAAAAGCTTACAAGAAATATGCCCACATCCCATTTCATAGGTTTCTTGAGGTAGTTGACACAAAAAAGAAATCTATGTGACTTAGATTTTATCTTCTACTAAATGATGTACTAGGGGGAGTCAAGTACAGAGAGCATATGCTTCTGCAGTGGTTTCAGTAATAGCCCCATCACGGAGGATTTGCAGGCCACATACAAGCCCGTTGGTACCTGTCCAAATGTATGGATTCTTAGGAGGGAGATGACAAGCTCAGTCCCATTTCAGTCCCATTATCTGATCCCTCAGTGCCAGCACTCAAGTCCTTGTGTCATAGCATACGTTAACAGTCCTTTCATTTAGGAGTATGGCAGATCTTTATGGCTGTGTTGCATGCAGCTTCCTTTGCCAGGCAGCCCTAAATCCAAAAATCTACAAACAGGTGGCTCCAACAGCCTTTTTAATTTCAGTAAGCCTGAGCAGGAATTTCACCTTCCATCCCCTGTAGCACCTTGTCAGCCATACAAAGCTTCCTCTTCAGCTTTTCCCCATTCCACCACAGCAGCTGAATGACACATTTCAGGTGAGTGCTGACCTTGGCTTGCCACTACAAACAAATCTCACCTGTCCTTTCTTATCTGCCAGCGCACTGAGCGCTTCCTCACACAGCATTCCTGGAAGGGTCCAGGCTGGATGGGGCTTTGAGCAGCCTGATCTGGTGGAAGGTGTCCCTGTGTACAGCAGGGGACTGGAATGAGAAGATCTTTCAGGCCCCTTCTGACCCAAACCATTCTGGGATTCTGTGACTTTCAGCACCTCCTCTGAAAATAGGAGTGAAGTAAGAGTCTTGTTCCACAACACAACAACTGAGTAGAATGTGTTTCTGCATAATGCTCTGCTACTTCTTTAAACACCAAACTAGAACTGCTTTCACCTTGTTACTGTTGTTTTCCACACCTCAGAACATGATTACACATTACAGTCAAACTTTCATAGTTTGAAATGTTAGTCACAGTCATGAATAGTCATTAAATGCTTTCATAGTTCAGCACAGAGTAATTCATACCCATTTCATTTTGAATCTTCATTCTAAATTCCTAGAGCAGCAACACCTCATTCAGATTCTTTGTTCTACAGATAAGGGCAGACTCATGCCTGCCTTGGAAGTAATTGCTATTTACAATACTTCCCTCCTGAACTAGCTTCAAAATCAGTTGGAAAATAATTTTGCTTCAAGAATAAGCATCTTCATCTCTGCCATCATACAACTTCTAAGCACAAATCAGTCTTTATTTCTCCTGGAACTCCATACAAATGCCTTATTCATTTATGTTCTGCTGTGTTTTTCTATCATCACTTTGCTCCCCTTCTAAGAAAGCTTTCAGTGCTACAGTGGCCAACAGGGATAATATCATCACCATTGTTCCCACTACCCTCAGTACTTTAAACCACCTGGGGTAAGGAGGAAGAAGGGAAGTGTCATAATGCAGCGCTATCCCTAAGGCCACCGTGAGCATCACTGCTCCCTGAGTGACATCTTTGAAAAGCAGGGCTTGGCAGGCAAGCAGAGCAGGAACTGTGCCATTAGCCAGGTTCAGCCAGTCTGGCTTGGCTGGGCTGTTTGCTGGGAGAGCAAAGCCCCACCTCATTCCCCCGAGGAAGGAGGCTGTGGCAGCACCGTAGGCGACCTGAGCAAAGGCCAGCTCTGGGCTGTAGGTGCCCTGCGTAGCCATGGCCAGCGGCACAGCCACAAACGGGATTAGCCCCCCCAGGCTTAAATAAAGGGCTGGCTTGGGACAATCCTTCAGAGATCCCAGGTCTTCTTGTGGCTCTGCCTCAGATTCTGCAGGGGTTTTCTCCTTGGAGATGGGGAGAGAGGTGTGGAAAGCCCGGAGCTGGGCTGTGTAAACTGATGCTGGTTTGAGGCTCAGGGGTGTGGAGAGAGGACGTGCACATCCCTGCAGCTGGAGGACCAAGGAAGAGCAGGCTGTCTTATTCTTCCCCTGGAGCAGCAGACTGGGGCCAGGTAACTTCTGCAGCTGCAAGCACAAAACTTGTTCTGAACACCGCACAGTGCAGGCTTACAGACCCGCAGGTACTTAAACAAGCTCCTGAATATTGTACCAAGTGGTTTTCCAGTCAGGTCACAGCACAGCTGTGTTTGCTTCTGAATTTCAAGTGGTTTTAACTAAACTAATGAAGGCACCCAGTGCAGCTGATGAAGAGCAACTGGGCTCTGCAGAGTGCACAAGCAAAGCTTACTCAGTGCCCACTATCCCTCCCCACACATTTTCTTTGAAGATGTATCAATCCTCCTCCGAGTAAAATATAAAACAGTTTCATATAGAAACAGAATGAGGTCACCCCAGAAACCAGCTACTGTCCCCTCACTACTCCATAAAGAAATGATAGGAAAAAAAGACTTTGAGACAATAAAACTTGATAAAAGAAATAGCTTTGCCTAAAAGTGTTGTAGAAATGAACTATTCCAGAAAAGATGAGTGACACACTCCAACTTGGAAGCCACCTTTTTTTTTCAAAGCTGCAGTCCTATCTTTTGCTATTTTACTTTTAAATAAATCAGAAAAAAAAAATCCTTCAGTAACTTACTTTGAAAGGTGTGTTGAAGCAGCATCGTTGTATGAGAGGAAACATATTTGTTTTGTCAATGTCCTAAAACAGAAAAATTCAGAAAAAGGTCTGAAACCAATGAATCACTGAGCTGGTCTGATGCCCAAAGTTCAGTCACAGTCTGCATTTACCAAATACAAGAGTACAAGAGTCATATATTTAAAGAGATATGTGTGTGTGTGTATATATATATATATATATATATATATATATATAACATATGTATTCAATCAGTACTTGCCCACTACAGAATACTTAGTTTCAAGCAGCAAGCAGCTCTGTGAGCTGAAATTCTAAAGTTGTATTGACTGTTGCAAGAACAATTTCTAGTTAAAAAACTGAGTATCAGGGAACAGGTGATGGCTTCCCGTTCGTGGATCATCTCCTCTTCAAGGGATAAATGGCTTCACAAAGCTTATAAAGGAACAATTCCTCACACGTGGGAAAAGCGATCACTAGTAAAAAAAGGAGCAGAAAAGGCATCCCATGCAAGCTGCAGGTAAGCTCCCTGCCGGGGTACGACACCCACCAGGGGAAGGTGGGACTCCGCAGTTCCCGGTCCTGCTACGCTGGGAGAGAAAGCCAGACTGCCCTGCCGGAGGGCGAAGGGAGCGGAGGATATACGTTCAGTCCAGAGGGAGAAGGAGCCGCTCTGCCGAGCGGGCAGGACTCGCCGGGCGCTGCCGCCACCCCGGACCCGCCAGCTGTGGCGGCTTCCGGTGCCCTCATAAGCGCTCCGACGGCGCCCGGTGCTAACGCGCTACCGGTCCGGCCGGGAACCGGCACGGCCCACCGTGTTCTGCCGGGCCGCGGAAGGCCCCACCGAGCCGATACCGGGGGCAGCAGCGCCGGTCACTCTTAGCCCAAAGGCCGCAGCCGGCCTGGCGGAGGAGCGACACCCTGCCCGTGGGACAGAACCTGTCCTGGGGAGCTGTGCAGCCGTTCCTGCTTTCTGGCTTCCGGCATCACCGCATCGGGCAAGCCTTTCACAAGAGGACTACAAATCCCAAGCGCCCTGCGGCGCGCCGCCCGCCTATCCGCACGGCGGAGATGGCGAGTAGTCTCCTGGGACGCGTAGTCTGAGGCCGCTTCCGACGGGCGGTGCCGGGGGCCGCGCGAGCCGCCGCTCCTGATTGGTGGGGCGGGAGGCGCGGGGGCCGGGGCGGGGGCAGGGAGGGGGAGCCGGGGGGCGTGTCCCTTCCGCGTGCTCGGCCCCGCCCCGCGCGCGCGCGGGCCCCGCCCCCTCCGGCCCCCGGCCGGGCAGGGCTGGGCGGCCATTTTGGGCAGAGCTTTGTTATGGTTGTGGGGCCGCCGGAGCCGCGCCAGGGCCCGCCCGGTGAGTGCGGCCCCCGCGCCGCCCCCTCCGCGCCCCCCGCGCCCCCTCCGTCTCCACTTGGCCCCCGCCGCCCCCAGGCCCGCCCCGCCGCCCCCCGCGGCATCGCGGGCTCGGTGCGGCCCGGGAGCGGCCTCCCGCCAGGCCGGGCCCCCCCACCCCCTCCCCCCCGCGCTCGGTCCCGCGGCCGCGGCGGCTCCGGGGCGGCAGCGCGAGGGCCCCGCGGGCAGGGCCGGGCCGGGGCGGGCGGCGGGGCCGGGGCTCTGCGGGTTATTGTTTCCTGTGCAGCCGGGAAGTTCGTAGCGCTGACACTGCCGGAGCTCAGCTCCTGTCATGGGGCCGTCCGTGAGCGGGGCGGGGTGGGGGGGGGCGGCGGGTGAGTCCCGGGGACCGGACAGGGGCGACCCCGCTGTAGGCCGGGAACGAAACCGGGCGGCCCGGCCGTTCCCCTTGGGCTCCTCCCGGGCCGCGGTTCCCGGCCGCCCCCGGCGGGAAGGGGCGGTCGGCGCCCGGCGGTGACACGTGGGCTGCGGGCAGCCGGGGCTCGGCTCGCCCTGCCCGCTGCCAGCGGGGCTGGGGAACTTGTCAGGTGCCGCTCGGTGCCTGCTCGGAGGGAAACGGCGCCCGGCCCGAGCGTGAGGCGGCTCTTTCGGGCGTCCGAGTTATTTCCGTGTGTCCGGTGTGTTTGATGCCCCCTTGGCCTAAGGGCTTGTGTGGTTTGACTTAAAGGGCTGGGGCTGGACGTGATCAGAACGCGCCTAGCGTTTCTAATATCCATTTAAGACTTTGAATTCAGTTCAGTTTAGTAGCGAGCTGTTTTGGAACGATTTTAGAGCAGTCAGTAGGTGTCTGCACAAGTTACGAGTTTTTAAACAGCTTTAGAAGAACAGCAGCTATTTAAATTCTTACAAGTAATGGTGGAATGGTTTAAGAGTGTTGCTTAAATATCTTTTTATATTAACATGACCAGGTAGGTCAGCCTGCCTTTCCCCGCCCCCGAGCTGTGAGTGACACAAGTGTTAGTAATGTTGATAATACTCTGAAACGTTGCAAGTGCCTGAGCAAAGTGTGGAAATAGCAAAGAGGGGGAATGGAGATAACAGCTGAGATAATTGGAGCGCCATCAGAGCTGAGTTTACTGTAGAGTTGACATTGATTCTATAAAAATGTTAGGTGGTTATGAAAAAAGCTTATGCAAATGTTACTTCATGAATGAAGATGACTGGTATTGCAGTTAAAGGTTCCCCGTAATGCTTATCCATTTGGAGACTGGTATCTCAAACTTCCAGTTCCTGACTCGGGAAGGATACAGGTGCAGAGCAGTGGTAGGAGCAAAAAAATTCCCAGATTTGAGAGGAGCAGCTTTTCCTCACGCTCTTTCACATAATCTCTGGAGGAAAGTCCCTTTAAGAAGAACTTATTAAAAATTTTGTACTTAGAATAGAAAGGCTTCAGGTGATACTTCCTTATGGTGTTAGGGGTTTTTTTACAGCTGTTTGTAGGGAAGTGCAGTAGCCCTCTGCATTTTTTACTCATCTGGTTTATAGCCTTAATCCTATGTGACACAGAAGTTTCCATTGCAGATATCATACGAGGACCTAAAGTGAAAATATGCAGGGAACAGATGGCATTTAAAAAAAACCACAAATCCTGTTTTTTCTGCAGTGTCTCAGAAATATGAGGAGCAGAATGCAGATGTGAAATACAACAAATCAGATGGAAGTGCATACTTTCTGAATGTTTGAAAAAATCTTCACTTTGACAATATTTATAGGGTATGATCACCTTGTTTCACATATGTGACTGGTGCATGGTGTTACTGAATCTTGACGTTCCTGTTTTAAATTAGGAAATTAAGTCACTACAGGAAAAATAATATTCACTAGTATTTTCATTAAATGGAAACAGTGTTTCAGGAGTTATGGGATCCTTAATTTAATACAGAAAAATGCTGTGGTTAGATCTGTGAATTTCTTCAGGAGTGTGGGATGTCAGATAATGTAGTTCTTGCCTTTAAAAAATGAAGAAAAACTATTGGCTCAGGAGTTAAAGTTACCTTTTTCCCCCCTCAGTGTTAGGAGTTGTTTGAAGTTAGTTGTGTAACTGCTGAATTGACTTAGCTGTGAAGTGTACTCCAGGGTGTGCTTTGTTTGTTTGTCTGTACGAAGAGATTTGGAAAAGGGCTGACTCTGTTCAGTAGAGCTGAGGCTTTAAAGCACCTCTCCTGCCGAGTGCTGGCTGTGCTTGCATGGACACAGCTTTTCCTTACAGCTCCATAGAAACCAGGGGGTGACTGTTGCTCTAGCTTACCCAGTGACAGTCATACTTACTGGATTTTGCACTTGATGAGGTAGTGTGTGTACCAGGAAGTTTGTCTGGGATTTTTAAGTTTTATGTTAAGTAGAGGCAGGAGTTGTTTAGTTTTGGTTCTGCAAATTCAGCAATGTAAGTAGACATTTTACTCTCACTTACCTAGTGACCAGGATGCCAACTCAATCATGTGTGCCTTTTGTTTCAGCAAGAGGAATTGAAGTTCATGTTCTCTTTGCTCGTCAGATTTGATGAAAAGCAGTGAAGTTAGCAGAAACATGGTCCTGCTCAGAATACTTCATGAAAGCCAGGATGTTGTTTAATTTGTGTACTGTAACTTTATATGTTCCTGTGAAAATGTGCCAAACTTTAATGAGTTACTGTATGGTCAGAAGATATATCTATGGTTTTAGGAGTGGATTTAGGTAGAGATTCATAGTGGCTAAGTGTCCACTGCCCTGTGTATGTACAAACACTGGGCAAACCTGGAAGTTCTAGATTAGGCCTGTGAGTGTATAGTAAGCAGGGAGGGAAGCATTTTGGCTTAATTGATCATACACGTTAGTGATCAGGCTGTATCCCTCCAAACTGGAAATTCCTGATTGAAGTGTGCAACTCCTTCTATAGCTGGTCTTTGAAAGTCAGAATTTTCACACTTGATACTACTTAGACCTTTCTATTATTAAACAGCAAACAGTTTTGCAAAGTGTTGGTTTATGCAGTTCTATAATGTGACTAATCTGAAATAGTTGCACTTCCAAGGTCTGGCTTAACAAAAGTGCTTTGAACCAGTGCAGCCAAACATAACTGAGGTTTTCTGCAGTAAATGATGCTCAGAAAGAAATATTTTACAGCATATGACCTTGTGCCTCAGGGACTGTTGTACATTAGGGAGTTCGCCTGGGGCAACTGAAGTTCTAGGACTTGCAGACATTCTAGCAAAAATGCCAGTGTTGATTTGTTTTCTCCTTGAATCTTGTGATCATTTCCAGTTTGCTGTTTTGCATAGTTTTATTCTCCACACTGGAAGGAGGATCTCAGCTCTGTGGTGTGATGTTAGTGGCACGTGATAAGAAAGTATGTGTATAATGTTGTCTAAATGTCTCTGGTTTTAAGAATCGCCTTTTTTCAATACAGGAAGAAATTAGAAATTTAAGTTTTATTTTTGGCGTCTCTTCTAGGTTCTGGATATCTGTGATCCCCTCCCCATAGCATATTTGCAACATACAGAGTATGTGGCAATGAGTGGCCCTCTCTTGGAATTTTGTCATCTTTAGTTTGTAATGAGCAATTAACTTGTAAATAAAGGACTGTGTCTGCCAGGGAGGTACATGGTATTATTCTGGGCACAGAAATTATTGGTATTCACAAAGTTGCTGGTGAAGGTGTATGGTTAAGATTACAACAGGTCTCCAGCCTTTCAGCAGAGAGGAGTGTTTTGCCATTGTGTTACAATGCGTCATCCATCATCAAGGGATTAATCAGGACTCACGTGAGATGATCTGAAAAGACCTTTGATGTTAATCTTAAAAAACTCAGCAAGGATTTCTCATCCTGAAAATATTGAATGTGTTATGATCTTGACTGTTAATTTGGGGAAAGTGTCTTTCCTCTACTTTGAACTCCAGTTAAAAGTAGAGAAATGGGTTAATGATAACTTCAATGTCTTCAGGTTGACTGGGCCTTCTGGAATGTATCCTCTAGTATTTAGGAAGCTGATAGCCCATGGGGGTGGGAAAAGTTCCAGAATGCTGAAGAGTTGAGGAGCATTTTCCCTTGCAACATCTAGAAAAAAGGCAAGACTTGGGTATGTCCAAGGGAAGAGCATTCACATCAGGGAGTCTGTGTCATGTACTTTTTGGTGGTTTCACTTCCCTATATTGCAATAATGTTCTTACTGAACACACAGATAATGTGATCCTAACAAATTCAATAAATTATCTGAAAACAATAGCTTTGGATTCAGCCATTTTGGTGTAGATGGGTTCAAATTACTGTGTTTTGGTATATTGCCTACACAGACAAGTAGCAGCTGGTAGGGAAGCAGTTCTGTGGGGGAGTATCCTGGGGGTTGTAATGGTTCCTAAATTATCATGACTCAGCAGCATCACTGTCATGAAAATTCATTTGTCATACTGGAACATACAGAAGCATTTTAAATAAGGCAATGAAGCAGTTTCTCCATTCTGCTGAGGAGTGGTAGGTCTTCAGCAGGGATTATCTTGTTCAGTTTGGGATAATGTGATATTTGAGAAATTTATGGCTGTGCAACAAGATCTGTAAAGAAAATAATGAAGTCTGAAATAGTGAAACTATAATTAAGGATTGGGGAAAAAATTGATTGGTTAGCTCTACAATGGTTTTATACATCATGTTTCATCAGACATAAGCAGGTGATATATAAAGCAGCTTAAAAAAGTTAACCTGCAGGTACAACTGGGAGGCAGCTCTGACATTCTGTCACTGCCTGTGAGCTGTCACACTTGGTAGGTGGGTCACGTCAGTTTTTTCATCATTGATGCTTTGAACTTGAAAGCTTGATCTTTGCCACTAAATTTGACTGGTTGAGGATGGGTTGTTTGTTTGGGTATTTTTGTTGTTGTTTTTTTTTAAGCATGGGTTTATTTGATCACAGAATATGATAGTAGATGATTTTTCTGCTGCCAAGCAGTGATGGGGTACAAGGTGGTCTGTGGGACTTCTGCCCCAAAAAAACCCCAACACCTGTTAAAGTTGTCTTTCAGTCAGGGAACACTGAATTTTTGGTCTGAAGAAAGTATTTCTTAAAAGGTATCTTCAAGGAGAGTTTAGTCAAGTTTCCACATCCATCATGAATAAAACAAGCAGTTATGAGTTGAAATTGCAGCACTACATGTTCAGGTGAGATGCTAGATACAAGGACAGGCTTTCAAGCCATGGAATAACCAAAACAGATTGTAGGGATACACTGGAGAATGCTGTGTGCTAATCTGGTTTCATTTACAGCTTCCAAAAAAACATTCCAGTGGGGGTACATATTAACTGC